CCTACGGGAACTCACCAAAACGGAAGCCCCGAACCAACTCTTATCAGAAACATCCATGAATAAAGTTACAAGTAATTAAGCATAGATGGCTTACCGTTTAGTTACCGATCGCACGAAATCTTTTCTTCCTGTTTCCGTCTTTTTTTTATCTATGTATTGCCAAGCTTTGCTCATCCACTTTTTTTTAGAATAGCCTCCACAATTATATCCATCTTGTCTTGCAACCATTCAACTTAAGAGGAAATTCATACGCCCCACACTTACTTTGACGGTTACAGTAACTTTTTGTTTGCCAAGTACCAGATTAAGGAAGTAAACATTTCCTATCTTTTTCTTTCTTGCCTTGACACAAAGGGTCCTCCCTATGTAATTGTTTTTTTTTTTTTTTGGTTATTACAGCTAAGAGATAGGAATCTGTATGTTTGGTTCACAAAATGTAGCTTTAAAGTTAGAATGAAATATTGGTAAATGATTAAAATGTCATTTTTTGAAAATTTTAATTTTTTTAAAACAAAAAATATTTTAATAAAATACTTTAGTGTTATAGTGGTGGGTTTGTAGTTGTCCTGATGCTAATGATTTGATCAACCACTATTTTGTTTTTGCTTTTCCGACATTCTTTTTGCATTTTATTGTTTTATAGATTTATAATTAATTATTATTATTTGTTAATTATTAGTTATTAATTTTCTATTTCTTAATTGTTATTTGATTTAGTTTACCCAAAATAGTAAAATATGTACATAGCATTATATGATTATAATGTCTAAGTTTATTTGAAATACTCAAAAATTAATCGAAATCCAAACTAAAAAGGTTATATTTATTCGATTAAACTGAGTTGTTTAAGCTAAAATCAGAATAACCCAAAATCGTTTTGGTTCAGATTAATTATACAGTTTCAGTATTCCTTTAACACCCCTAAATATGCTCCCCAATAATAAAAAAATTTGGATCCGTCATTGCATTATTTATAATAAAAAAAACAGCATCCTCTACTCTTTAATTATTTTACTTGCAACTGAATTTCTTCAAAATATGTGTGATTTTCATTTAAGGGTTGTTTACCTAAATGTTTACCCGGTAAGCACTTACCTTTAGGAGTCAACACTATAATTTATTTTATATGGTAAGATTGTAGTATATCAAACTGATATCGTGTGCAACAAAATATATGGTAAGCACTTATCATCGTTCTTACCGGGTTAGACTCTTTATCCTTATCATCGCTCTTGCCAGGTAAGATTCTTGGGTCTTGTCATGTTCGTCCAGGGAGGAAAATTGTCCGGTAAGAACCTACCGGGTAAGCATTTAATAAACGACCCTTACTTTAGGTCTCATCATACTAATTTTTCCTCTTATTTTACAACAATTTACAAAAGTCGTAGAATGATCGAAATTCTCAAATTTTACCAATCAATCAGCTTCATACAAAAAGGTCATCTCGAACCGAGTTATAAGTTGGTTACAATTTTATCAATTTCTAGATCTTGGAAAAACAAGCAATTGATTATGAATCGATTACAGAATTACAGTGATCTACATTTTTAGAATTTTCTAAACATTTGTAGATCTTGAAAATCCAAGCAACTTCAAAAACAAAAATCATCTCGATCCGAATTATAAACCAAGAGTTATGGTCTTCCAAAGTTCACTACGAAAATGGTTGCGTAAGTGTTCACGAAATGCTTACATTAAGATTACAAACCGGTAATATATACATATTAGAAGAGTACTCGTGCAATGCAGCGATACGCATCTCGATTTTAATGTTCTATTTTATTATTTGTCTTTGTCGATATTATAATAGGATTTTATGTGTTTTTAAGAAAGCAATAATTATTTTATTTTTAAATAAAATATAAATTTGAAGATATCATAAAAAATTTGAAAACAAATATATCAACGTTAATATCAAATCAACTATTTAAAAGTTCTCATTTTTTATGTAATTTCTTTAATTTATTTTTTTATTATAATTTAATTTAAGTTTAATAATGAAATAATTTATTTTTGGTTTAATAATATAACATTTTATAAAGATAATAATTAAGTATTCTGTTAGAACTCAATGATTATCCTAATTATATTTTAGATTTTTTACATCTAAAATGAGATGTTTATCATGTATTTGATTATGTTTATCTGCAGTTAGTTACACGAATTCAGATATGGATTTTTAATAAGTTATATTTACGCACAATCTACTTGTAATCTTGAGTTTTAAGTAATATGCATTAATAAACAGTACTTTACACATAAAAAGTGGTTTTTAAAAGTTTTTTGTCAAATACTTTATAATATAGTATATATATACACACACACACTTAAAAGAAATGGGAATCTAGATCATCATAAACGTAAGCATTCCCCAACTATTTTCATAGTAAACTTCGCGAGCATAACATTTGACTCATAATTTGGATCGAGATGATTTTTCTAATTTCCTTTTTTATAAAAAAATTACAAGCTGGTAAATTTGAAATATACAATATCTTAACCAGTTCATAAATGCTCGTAAACATTTGGTAACCATTTTTCTTATTGAACTACCATGGAAGGATCGATAACACCTAAATTGTAATTTAATTAGAATCGGCATGATATGTTCTGAAGTTGGTAAATTTTCAAGATACAATTCGATAAAATTTGAGAATCGGAATCATCATAACCAGTTCTTAAATAATTATAACATAAACGAGAGGGGAAAGTTAGTGTGATAAGACGTAATTTAAATAAAATTCAAGCATATTAAAGGGAAATTGTAACACCCCAAAGTCCAAAACACCAAAACCGACCTAATAACTTCTCCACTTAAATCTTTGACGCTTTTGTCAAGCCTTCCTAGAATCCTCTTGTAATCAACAATACGTGATTTGCCTAAGATATTACAAACATCCCCCTTGCATGGACTCATCACGTCCGACGAGCTCTGTTCCACCATTTTGATGGTACAAGGATCAACTTTGATACCATTTGTAACGCTTTAAAACCCAGAGCAATAGACTACCAAATAACTTCATATTTAATTTAATATCAGAGACGGGCCTAAAATTCTTTTTGATAGTGGTGGTACAAAATAATTATCATAATTTAAAATAAAATAAAAATTATTTTTTAAATAAAAATCTAATTATAGTTAAGAAATAAAGCATAAAGCATAAAAAATAAAAAAAAAATTTAGGTTAGACGGGTTAATTCATTGGTGGACTGAGTTGGCCCTTAAAAACACTTGTTCGAATTTAAAAACATTGCAACATTTACCTAACAAAACTTGAACACAAGACCTTTTCTTGTTTTAGAAAAAGACTCTATCCGACGCCCTACACCTTTTATTTGTTCTTTTTACCAAAATGGTATCACATATCTGATGAGTACACATTAAATGTGTGATTTTAAACAGGACCCTAAATTTTTGGGGATTAATTTTACATTGTTTAAGGTCACTTATCAACGAATAACGAAACTATAGCTTACTCTCTGTGCCACTTTAATTTCTACTAAAAAAACAAAAGTAGTAAGCGTTATCTAGTTGTCCCGCCTCTGTAATTTGTATATATTTATCTTTGTTATCTCATTTTCCAGCGTAATCGAAAGTTATAAGTGTAACAGAGCCTCCAAAAATACTAAAACGTCTCTGTCAATACAGTGGCACCTTTAGGAGTTGTAAACTGTATGCTTCATATTAGGTTCGTCCATGTATAAACTATATTGGAAGTTACTGATAGCTCACAACTTTGAGTTTATAAGAAGCTAATAAATTCAATATTTATTCATATAGACGGTTTGATATAAATAGAAACCTTTAAGGTTAATCAAAAAGGCCTACAAAGTCATCCGATACTTTTTAGCTGACTTTCATCGCTGTAAGGGATAATTTTTAAGTTTTTTGTTTGATTTTGAAGGATTTTTCCCGACTTTTAGGTTTATTCCGAGTGACTTTTTCTGTTTTTTGATTGATATCCCTTATATTTTCTAATACATCATTGTCAACTCATTAAATTAAAAACCTTCGTAAAACCCCACAACCCCTTTTTTATCAGTCTCATACACCTTTTTTACCATTACTTTTATTATATCTTTTTAAATCAATTAAAAAACTGATAAAATAAAATTTCAAACAAAATTCAAGGTAAGAATTAAGGTTTTTGTACAAGAACTTCAAATAGACCAGTGACTTACAAGAACTCTTCATAACGGTAGTGACTTAAAAGAACTAAATTTTTTGCTTATAGAAACCTACTATTGGAGATGCTCTAATATATCAGGTTATGCAATAAATTGAAGTCGTCAATTGTAACTTGGTAGAATGTTGTTAACGAAAAGAATATACCGACACACATGTAATGAACTTGTCTTTCTCTCGACCAGTCATTTGTGTAACAATATAAACAATCACTTGAATCGTCATGGAAGACTGAAGAGAACATCTCGAACATTGACGTGCATCCAACTTCAACATTAGTGGGATATCTTTCATTTGCTAGCCGATCAATGAACGTAGAGAAGCTTGTTGAACCCATTCAAGTCTTGCAGAATGTCGTTTTTAGTATTTTTGCAAGATGTCAATTCATTGACCGTTTTAAAATATTTTATAGATCCTACCAAACAATCCATTAGTAATTGGTACATTTAGAATTACCGACAAATAAATCCAAAGGGTTGTCTATTGTGTTATTTCCACTTATTTGTGGTTTTTGATGCATTGTGACTCCTATCCCATTTTCTAGTTGTATCCAACTATGCACATTTTATGTGCAACAGACGTAAAATTGAATCAGATACAGTGTTAATCATCTCCATTATTATAAAATTTTATATTAAATAAATGTAAAACTTACATATCGGTTCAGTTACTTTCCTATGATTTGACGTTTACAAATGATTTTTAATTTATTTCATTTTTACTGAAAAATTTACAGACAACTGCATAAGTGTTGATGAATCAGCTTTATTTTGCATACTATATAAGCATGGGATACTTGACAAAGAAATCAACATCTCTTTGTTGTTTCCATCATAAATCATTTCAAATTTTCTTTCTACGGTCATTACACTTGTAAGCCACATGATCTTCAACACGATGAAACGTCAAGTGTTATTCCTTATACTTGTGTTATCAAGGACGGTTACAAGCACAAAAAAATTTGATCACTCGTCTCTGCGGATTGATGGTCGAATGGTGGAGTTGTCATTGAGCTATTGTTTGAGTTGGAGGCTAGCAGTGGAGACAAACAACATAAAAGGATGGCGTACCATCCCTATTCAATGTCTCCATCACGTTGAGGCATACATGATTGGAGGACAATACGAATCTGATCTAGACTTGATTGTTGATCATATCAGCAGTTACATCGACGATATTATCTTGTCAGACGACGGATTAGATGCTTGGATCTTGGATGTCGATGATACTTGCCTTTCAAATATATTCTATTATAAAGGAAAGCGATTCGGGTGAGTTACGTCATCCACATATATAATTATTATATTATTATTATTATCTTTGCTTTTGTATATAAATAAAATGGTTTAGAATCCTTATAGGTGTCAAAATAGGCGGGCAGGTTGGATAATGGATCAAAACGGTTGATGGTTTAAAGCATGACAAAACTAGTAGGATAGGCTTGGGTGGGGATTTCTTTTTAATTACATAAATAATTGATATATTAAATATGATTTCAATATATTATTATTAGAAATATGACTCAAGTTTTTAATAAATTTCTTTATTAGGTTATGAACACTAGATTTTTTATTTGTAACCATTTGATCCACTGATAATAAAATATATGATTGAAAACGACATGTTTTTAAATTGGTATTTGGAACCAAAAACGTTACTAATTCATATGGTCTAGGTTTCTTCCATACAGTCCTAGAACTAGCAGATACTTTTTTACAGATTTTGTATTCATATACTTTATTAAAAGATATAAGGAAAGGCTATAGGTTTCTAATTATGTAAAATGATGTAGGGTCGACCCATACGACCCACAAGCATTCAAGGAATGGGCATCGAGAGGAATTTGTCCAGCGATTCCTTCAATCCTACGATTGTTTTTTAAACTGATCGAAAGAGGTTTTAAGGTGTTCCTAATAACTGGAAGAGACGAAACGACATTTGCACAACCGACCCTTCACAACTTGCACTTTCAAGGATTCTTTGGCTTTGAAAGACTCATTTTAAGGTAATTCATTATCTCTCAGAACTTGATTAAGAGGCCGTTTATGAAACACTAGTCTAATAAGTTTTTAGGCGTTTCAACAAGTTTTTACGACGTTTTTGAAATATAGCATATTATGCCCTATTTTTTAATGACACTATTTGAAAAAATGTCCTATAAAAAATGGGTTTTATGACACTTCTTAAAAATATCCTAAAAAATAGTTAATACCATGCTTTATTCTAAAAACGTCCAAAATTGTTAAAACGTTCTGATCATATAAACTTAAGTTTTATAAAGTATTTATTAAGACATTTAGATATTCTAAATATCCTATAAAGCCAATTTTGTTGTAGTGAATTAGCCTATATTTTTTCTAAAATAGAGCGTCTAAAATCAATATCTCTAAAAACCTTATATTCCACTCCAAGACTGCAACAACCTGTATTTTAGCAATGACATCATTAGCTATATTATTTTTAAGTATTCTATAAATTATTCATTCCAATACACTTTTAAAGAACGAAAATTATAACACATTCAACTTCATTGGTCGAAACAATTAAATATTAAAGCATCTTCAACAGTTGTATTATTTTAAATTTTTTAGAGAATTGGAAAAAAGCTGCTCCAACACCTATGTTAAACTCTTATTTAAAATAGAGAAAACGTACCCAATTCATTAAGAAAATGCAATTATAACGACCCAACTTATTAAAATAAATGCAACCATCGAGATGTAATTTAAAAAAAAAACCATAAGGACACGTTTCACTGAATTTTTAAAAATCAGATAAGAATTGTTAAAAACACTTAACCATAGGGACCAAAAATGTAATTTACTCCAAAACATATGATCCTGGTTTTCAGAATTCCAATGTAATGGAGACAAAATAAAAAAAAAAGTGAATTGTCCGATTTGGTCCTTGTGTTTTAATGTCATATAACTAAGGTTTCTATATTATGTTTATTATGAATTTGGTTCTTGTAATATTTAATTTATCACAGTCATGGTCATGGTCATGGTCATGGTCATTCTGATTAACACTAATAATAAGTTTAGGGGTGTTTGTGGTCCGGTTTGGACAATTTAACCCCTCAGACCATAAACCAACCTGTAATGACGGTTTATAAAATTTTTAAACCAAACGGTTTGGCATCAAGTGCCTAGACCGGTCAAACCAGACCACGAAAAAGCGATCTGGTCTGACCGGTTTAGACGTTTTGGACATTTAATGGACTTTAAATATTAAACTTAAAAAAACATATATAATTTATAATTTTAGATTAAATATCCATTTTGAATATGTTAGATGTTAAGTTTTATATTGGGGTTTGGGATATATTTGGACCATAGACCATAAGTTAAACTTGGCCTTGCTAAACTAAAGTAAATAATATATATATATATATATATATATATATATATTTGGCGGTCGGTTTGGTCCAAACCGTCCAAAAAAGTTTCCAAACCGCAGACCGGACCGGACCGCCCGGTTTTCCTATTTTCCAAACCACCAAAAATGGTCTGGTTAACTTGGTTCGGCCGATTTGAACGGTTTAACAGTTTTTTTGAACACCCGTAATTCAGTTAAATCATAGGTCGTTTTAGTCTTTTTACCCTTTTATTTGTCTTTTTCCTAGTACAATTGTAAGAACAATCATATTATAAAGGGTAAACTATGATTTTTCATCCCTTTAGTTTTTATAACGATTTTCATCCTTGTGCTTTGATGTTTATAACGATTTTTGTCCATGTGGTTTGCATTTTATTTCGTTTTTCGTTCTTCATCCAAACAAAGTTAAGAAAAACCATAAATACGGTCTTGTTACCTTTTTTATATTTAATTATATTCTATATTATTGTACACTTTATTGAGGTTCAGGTACAACTTATAATTTCATTAGAAGATTTATAGAAAAAACGTAACCTAACACACATCCCCAAGATCCCACCCGCAAACTCATCTTCTTCCTCAACCATCTCTACCATTTTCTTTTCCTAATTTCTCCAAGGACAAAACAGAGCATATTGGTATGAAACTGACGAGAAATTTGCTTAGATTTTATACCAATGCAAACCATGGAGACGAAAATCGTTATAAACACCAAACCACATGGATGAAAGTCGTAGTTTACTCTTTATGGTATGATTCTTCTTAGATTTTTAATAGGAAAAAGACAAATAAAAGGGTTAAAAGACTAAAACGACCTATGATTTAATTGACTTAACAAATTCATTAATGGTGTTAATCAGAAGGACCATAGTTGTGATAAATCAAATACCACAAGGGCCAAATACATAATATAGAAATCCTAAACCACAAAGGGTGGTGCCTGATTGGTTTGAATTTGGCTCCAAAGGTCAAAAGTGTCTGGAGGTCTCAGGTTCAAATCTAAGAAGGAACAAAAATCTCTTTGTGGCCACGGAGGTTCAAATGCGGTGACTTCGGGCTACATGCAAATCATGTGGTCGTCCTGTGATTAGTCGGCTCGCATAGTGGCCTAGTGGGTTGGATATCCAGGTTAATAAAAAAAATATAGAAATCCTAATAATAAAACATTAAAGACAAGGACCAAATCAATAATTCACTCTCATCTTTTTTTATTTGTTTCCGTACCGTTAGAATTTTGAGTAAATTACATTCTTGGTCCCGTAGTTAAGTGTTTTTAATGATGCTTATCCTCATGGTCTTCATATGGGTTTATAAGTGATTTCATAGTTGAATGAAATAAGACTTGTTGGAGGAAAGGCTCTCTCCACGTGTGTGTGCAGAGGGGGTGCAAAACTGGCCGAAATGAGCTCGGACCATTGAACTTAATTGTGTGCGAGTGCGTGTCCTGCAATGCAGTTTGAGGTCGACCAGAAAAGTTCAAAATCAGTTTTGTCAAATTTCCTTACGTTTTTAATTTCAAAAATCAAATAATTCAGATTTTTGAAGTTCAAATTTCCGCCAAAAATTGAAAAGATTCAGATTTCGATTTTAGGTTCAGGAAACTAATTAATAGCTTCCATCGTAATCTGACTTAATCGGGGAAACTCTCGATTATTTCTTTCCACAACCGAGGTCTCCAACAGTATAAAAAGAGAGTCTCGACTCACCCAAAAACACACCAAGAACAGTAATCTTCTATGCTCATCTTGGCTCGACTTTTCTGCAAGGTAAAGCTCACACGTTACTTTCTTTCGTGGTTTTCAGTAAAACTGTTGTATCTTGGAAAAGTGATGCACCATATGAGGGCTAAATTAAATTAAAATATGAAAATTGTAATATGATGTTAATATTTGCAGGAGTGAAGCATACAAAGGGCAAAGTGGTATGGTTTACAAATCAGAAATTAGAAGGAAATTGGTGGAAGAAGAAGGGTTTAGAATTTGGGGAAATGTTGGTGATCAATGGAGTGATCTTCATGGCCAATTTCTTGCCAATGCATCTTTCAAACTTCCAAATCCTATGTATTTTGTACCCTAAAAATACATGGTTTTTTATATGAATGAGTTTTTTTTTAATCAACAAATATTGATGTAATAGGTTGAAAGATGATTGGTCCATTTTGGTTAGTGTATATGCCTAAAAGCCAATCATTAGATTATTCTATTTGGATATTGTGTTATGATATTTATTAATGAAAAGTATTCTCAATTATCATGTTTATGGAGTATTCTGTGTTATATCTAAATGTAATAATAACCTTAGAATAATATATTATAAATTGTTCCTAGTCAAATATTAATTTGGATTTAGGTTGAATTAATAAGGTACGACTAGCATACATAGGAATATGTATAGAAATATAGAGTCCACATATGGGTACGAGATGGGATCTTGTACCGGACATAATTCGCTATGAGAACGTTTCATCTGATATCATATGAGTGTCATAGACAATTCTCATGTGGTTGTTGTATAGTTAGTCCTTTGACTTGAGATCAGGGGCGGATGCAGTAAGAGGGCGTAGGGGTCCTGGGCCCCTAACAAAAATGTTATATGAAAGCCCATTTTTTTTACTTGTATTTTGAGAGTAGGTGTAATTGGGCCCCCAACAAGATGAGGTAGGAGGCCCCTCTTCAGTGCAGGAAGAAACGACTCGTGAAGGGAGAGTGAACTGTGAATGTGATTGTGAAGGGAGTGAAGTCTGCCGCCTGCTACCGCATACACG